CCAGGACACTCAGAAGAGTGGACGTTTGGCCCCATAATAAAGCACTCCCAGTGAATTACAGGCATGATTTCTGAAGCAATTTTAGCTGAACTTCTAAATCTCTAGAACTTGAAGAGTTCCTTCTTAGACATAAAGCCTTCCATTGGAGGCCAGCAGATATCAAATCGATGCAAGTCCACAGCCTCCAAGAGTATGGTCCACGTTGACAAAAAGCTAGCACTTTATACTTCCCGAATCCAAACCTTATATTTCCCGAACTAGAGCACCAGCGGTTACCACGGTGGCCCCCGGGGCCGGTTCCTGGCAAGGAGGCTTAGAGACCCAGGGGGCCATGGCGCCTTCGTAGGGACCTATCGTGACATGGATGCCAGCCTGGCCACTCTGGTCTTTCCAAACTTGAGATGCTGGGAATCCCACAAAGGAAAAACTGCATATGAAATTATACTCTTTCAATGATAGGGATAGCCAGATATTTAATTGTCGTCTTAAACACAGCTTCATTTCAGCTATGCTTTATATATCATAAAATTCACCCATTGTGAGTCTACAGTTTGATGATCATTAATAAATTTAAACTGTAGGGCGACCTTCAGTCTGTCATTGCCTTTTTTTTTCCCAGTTGTGGTAAAATACACATAACAAATTTTTACCATCTTAATCAAATTTGTGCTGCTCAGTGGTATTAAGTACATTCAAATTGTGGTTTAATCTCCAGAACCCTTTTCATCTTGCACAACTAAAACTCCATTCCTGTTAAACAGTGATTCCCGCCCTGGTTGGTGGGCTCAGTTGGTTGAACGCAGGCCTGGGAACTGAAAGGTCGCTGGTTGGATTCCGGGTCAGGGCCCGAGCCGGGGTTGCCGGCCCCATCCAGTCGGAGTTGGGCAAGAGGCAGCCGACACACGGATCTCTCGCATGTCGCTCTGTTTCTCCCTTCCTTCCCCTCTCCCTCAAAGTAAATAAATAAAACCTTTAAATAAATAAATAAACGAGGACTCCCCGTGCCCCCCTCCACCCAGGCCCTGGCGACCACCGTTCTACATTCTCTCCATGAACTGGACTCCTCCAGGCCCCCCCTATAAGCGGGATCACCCCGTATTTGCCTTCTGTGTCTGGTTTACTTCAGGTGGCATAATATCCTCAGGCCCACCGCTGGTGTAGCACGCGTCAGAATTTATTTCATTTGTCAAGCTGAATAACAGTCCATTGTGTGTACGGGCCACATTTTGTTTATTCACCTGTCCACGGACTCCCGGGTTGCCTCCCCCTTTGGGCTGTTGTGAGGGATGCTTCTATGAACAGGGGCGCCCAAGGCCCTCATCGCGTCCCTGTGTTCATTCTTTTGGGCCTGTGTATTCCGGAATGAACGGGCTGGATCATACGGTGATTCTGTTTAATTTTTTGGAGGAACTGCCCTATTGTTTCCCACAGCAGCCGCACAGTTTTCCATTTGCACTAAGCGTTGTAACCTTCTAATACTTTATTTTGTATTCAGCACCCCCCTCCCCCAAATTATTCACCATTGATGGATTGATGCAGTATTATTTATTGTGACTTCTGTGTTCCGTTTACTGTGACCAAGTGCTAGGGACACGCATCCGCCCTCGCAGAGCCCGCAGTGTGAAAAGCAAGCGATAAACGATGTACCATTAAACCTGCAATGATGAGTTGCGCTGTGCTATGAACTCCGGCAGGCAGGACCTCGTCTGGATGACGGGAGGCCTTTTAAGAAGAAGACTCCATGCAGGATGGAGCAGGGAGGGCCGTGGTGGCAAGGGAAGAGCTGAGTCCCACTAAAACCCAGATCCCTGGAAGTTACTGAATTCCCAAGTTCAGTGAGGCAGGAGATGCGAGCCTGTTTTCCCATCTGTGAAAGGGGAATAAAAATGGGTGTTAATGAGGATGAAGTAAGATTATGGATCCCAAATAGCCTCAAACAGAAGAATCTCTGCGTTTAGAGGCTGCTTGCTGAAAAATGTAACGAGTGAATTTCTGCCTGGGGCAAAGAGTGAGCATGATTGGGTCATTTAAACACAGTCACCGAAGGGAAAGCAAAGGCGTTTAATATAATCCTTTACTGTAATCATTTTTTTCCCCCAACTCTGGTCCCACCCAGGTCTTTGGATTGTTACAGGAATATGAAATAATAAAAAAATTTTTTTTTAATTTTTATGAGTGTATTTGAGCCAACCTGTTGGGAGCCAACTTGTTGGGGGCAACCTGAAAGGCTCTCCTTTCTTTACTGGGTGTGGTATTCCTGGAAGGGTCCCGCTTGAGGAAAACCTCTCCTTGACTATCTGTAGAATTCATTTCTACAGACCCTGGAATTTCCAGGGCGGATTTAATTTCATGTTTTCTCTTACCGCAATTTTTTCTTGTTTCCTTCTCTTACCTGTTGAGCTTCAGCTGGAGTGACAGGTATTGGGGGGGCGGTGACAGGAAGAATTTGGGAGTCATTTAGGGATTGACCACCTGCTCAGCCACTTCCTAATTAAGTCACTTCACATCTTTGAGCCTCAGTTTCCTCATTTTCATAATGGACAAAACAATGCTTATTTTCCCCAAGAAAATCAGATGAGAAAAGTGTGCATTTAGTGAGTCTTTGGCACATACCGGGCGTTTATTATTGTCATCATTATTGGAAAACAGACTATGATGGAAAAGGTGTATAGTTCAAAGTGATTGTATCATCCCGATATATTTGGAATTTTCTAAAACTCTCTGTGTGAGTGTAATATTATATTATATTGGATGCATATATAGCTACACAGTAAATCTCTGTGTTTAATTCTACTAACTTCTTTACACAATGTAAATACTAAAAGATGTTAAACAAATGTGAAATCTTCAGCCTTGTAAGTCTTTCATGAGTATTTCCCCCTTTATTTGTCAATTTCCTTCATTGTAAGGAGCTGCAGCTATAAACCCTCCCTCCACATTTGTGCATTATATTTTCAATCATAATTATTATTATCACTTGGAGACTCCAGTGGCACAATTGTATTACCTTGTTCTAAGTAGAAATGGTGAACATGTTTTAACTATTACCAACTAACATAAATAAACAACTATCTCCTCCATGCGGTTTTCTTGAAATCACTATTTATTGAGCTGTATACCTACTGTACACTCGTGTAGGGTGATAAATTACATCTGCCACATTATCTTACATAGAAAAGGTGTTGGGAATACAGGCAAATTAGTCAGCAAGGTAGGCGTTAATTGGCCTTAATACTCAGTATGAGAATTCTAAAGGCTTCCATGTATTATTAAACCAAATTCTTGCCTTTACAACTTGGCTGTTGACTGTAGTTCTATCTCTTTTGCTTTAGGGGACTTATATAAAACAATGTAAAACTTTTGGAGAGACTTCAAATATTGGAGGTTAACCTTTCTTCAGGAGGTTTTTGTTAATGACCACGAATATCAAAAAGATGCTCAAGCTGATTTCTTTTCTGCCTTGGGTTGTCCAAACACCCAGGTGAACATACTTATGAGCCCAGCGTTCTATTTTCCTTGCATTCCTGATGAGCTTACAAGAAATTCTTACAAGCTGGGAGCCTGATGAATAACTAATCAAGAAAATGCAATGCACAAATGTGGAGGGAGGGTTTATAGCTGCAGCCCCTTACAATGAAGTAAATGCCCAATAAACACAAATGCCCAGAGGCAGCATGGAAACACCCATCAAAGACTTAGAAGGTCGAAGATTTCACATTTATTCAGCATCTATTAAGTATTTACATTGTGCAAGGCAGTTAATGGAATTAAATGCAGATTTATTGTGTAGCTGTATATGCATCCGATATAATAGAATATTGCACGCACGCGCGCAAACACACACAAAATTTCAGAAAATTCCAAATATCCCCCTATTGGGATGATACAATCACTTTCAACCATATGCCTTTTCCATAATTGTTTAAATTGCAACGTTCCAGTAAGGCTTAGTTTAGTTAACACCCAGAGCACTGTGCTTCCTTGGGTGATGTAATAAAGTATGTAAAGTAGTATATAAGTATGATGTTATGAGACATTTATGGCTTGTGGGGGGAAATGCAATTGCTTGCTGTTTTGCTATTACCTGACTGTACTCACTGGCTTTTAATCTGCCCTTTTCTGTATTTAGTATCCTGTTACTTTACAGTAAAAAAAAATAAAAATCAAACCAGATCAAGGTCGTATTTTAACAAACTAACCCTTGCAACTATGAATTCTGGGGGCTATTTATCATTTAAAGCAAATAAATTTTGGTGATGCAGTGATCTGAAATTTTGGAAAGTGGAAGGCCACGTTCAGAGTTGAGATGGAGATGGAAGGCTGAATGCTATTTTCACTGTTCTTCAGACATCACGAAACCCAATTTTAACACTTCCATCAAAAAGATGATGGAAGGGGACACAAGTCACATCTCAGTTTTTTGTTTGCTTTTAGGATTTTTGGTAGATATTAATACTGAGCCACTGCAAAGACCTTTCTCCACGACTGGCGCGGATATCAACCTTACAAAAGTCATTTTTGGAGCACCCTACCAATGTCGCTCGTTCCAAAACTTTTACCTAAGTCCCCAATTTTTAATAAGTTCGCAATTCTTTTTCCTTTTTCTCTCCAAGGGCTCAAATCGCTGGAGCGAAGGATGGGTCCCCCCCCCCCGCCGCCCCCGCCCCGATTTCGTCCACGATCCAGCCAATCTGAGCCCGGATGCTAATTAGTTGCGCTCCCGGGACGAACACGCCTTTGTCGCATGTAGGGCCGGACTACAAAGCCCAGAATGCCTCACCCCTCCCTGATCAATGAGGGCTTATTTAAATGATCTCTGAGGTCTTGGACCCAGGCCAATCAGCTGTCAGGGCTCATGATAAATCGCAATGCATTATTGATAATAATAATTACTGGGACATGCGCGTTCCGGCCGAAGGGGGGTAAATTTCCCAACTCCAGGAATTTGTGGCGGAGTGGGCAAATCACCGCGGTTCTCCCGGCGCCCCGATGCTCGCACCATGTCGAGGCGCAAGCAGGCGAAACCCCAACACATCAACTCGGAGGAGGACCAGGGCGAGCAGCAGCCGCAGCAGCCGGCCCCAGAGTTTGCAGATGCGGACCCAGCGGCGCCGGCGGCGGGGGAGCCGGGTGAGTGGGGCCGGGGCGCGCAATCCTCCCGCGTGTTCGCGGGACCCTCGAAGGCGCGGGCTCCAGGGAGCTAGCGGCTTCCAGTGCGGATTCTGGGACCGAGACCTGGGGCTCAGTTCCAGAGAAGAGAGGCAGCCTCGGCACCCCCCCCTCGCCGCCAGGGGCCCTAGTTAATTTTACATTTTTATCGCTTCCCCTCACTTGTGTAAATTTCACCCCTAGGTCTCTCCCTTCTTATTGTAAAAGTGACCCCCACCCTCTCCTCTGTCCCTCTCTTTCCTGAAAGGTTCCCTTCTCCTTGTCCTCTGCCCCTCTTAATTGGTTCCACTCCCCTCACTAGTAACCTCCCCCCCCCCTTGTAACTTAGGTTCCCCTCCTCCCTCCCTGGCGCCGCTTTTAAAAGAAAGACCCCGGGGGTCCCCACTCTTTCTCTCACCCCTTGGGGGCTTTTCTAGGAGGCTGGAGAAGCGGCGCACCCTCGGAAGACCCCCGGGGGAGGACGATCTGTTGCTCGCGCCCCTCCGGGGCCAAGCGGGGGGAGGGGGCGCGACCTCTCCCCGGCCCCAGGAGCTGGGGTGCGGGCCACCCGCGCTGCGGAGGAAAGTGGAGGGCCAGAAGAGGTGGGCGAGGAGGGCCCAATATTTCCTTTTTTAAAAATTTCTTTTCTGGTTTTCGCCTTTTCCCCGGGGCTACGCCGCCTGCCGATCTTCGCCCTAACCTTTCGGGGCCTGACCTCCAGCCATCTTTGATTTCCGACTTCCTAAAATAACCGCGGCGTGCGGGAGGGATGCGGGCCCCCAGGGCGGGGGACGCGGGCGCCCGGCAGCCCCGCCGGGGTGCACCGGCCTGGCGCTGTGCGTGGCTTTTCCGGGGCGCCCCGCTCTCTCCCAGTGCGCGCCCCCGGGACCAGAGGGGAGAGGTCGGGCCAGGGCTGCGCGGTCGCGGCCAGGGTGGACTCCGCGGCTGACCGGCCCACGCTGCCGCGCCCGGCCTCTCGGGGGTCGGGAGGAGTTCGGGACCCCAGCCCTGCCCTGAGCAGCCGCGCAAACTCCCCTCCTCGTCGCTTAACCGAGGAGGTTTTTGGAGCGGGTCGATTTCCCACTATCTCCCCGCTGTCGCGGCCCGCCAAATTGTCGCCTGATAAGTTTTTAGCGTCCGCATGGGGGAGGGTGCGCCTTTACCCTCCTCTGGGGCCTTGTTGGTCGCCGCCTGCTTTCTAACACCTCCACCGTGGGTGCGGGTGTGTGGCCACCCAGAAATTCCCAGATCCAACTCCGAAGGGAAGACGGTCGCTACTTTTTGACTGCTGTCCTCTTTTCCGGGGAAGAAATTAATAATACATTTCCCAAATACATACTGGGTTAATATAAATCCCTGCTACCTCCAAAATACCATTTTTTCCAGGGCAAACGAAAGAGATCGGCTTGACCGAGGGGCGGGCTGTGCCTTCTTGGGTGTCTGATGGTCGGGGCAGTGGGCACCCGAGGTCCTAGGAGGGGGGACTCTCTTTGTGCCTGGGGGGTGGGGTGGAGGGAGCGTGGAGAGGCTTCGTTGCCTGGCCCACCTGGAACAAAAGGGTTAACCCTCCGCCCACCGGCTTCCTCCCGAGAGGAGGGGCGAGCTCCTGGCTCTGACCCCTCCTCCCCTGGTCTTCTCTGACCTCTTCCCCCTTCATTTTGGGTGAGCGCTTGCTAGAGGGGCTTCTGGTGGTGTTTGGCACCTTTAGGGGGAACTTGTTACGGGGTGGGTGGGTGGGGGGCTTCTTAAATTAACACTGGCTGGAGTTTGCAATCAGTTAACCCGAGCTGGTTAAGGTCTCAGGCCTGGCATTGCGCTCCCTCCACTATTTGGGATGGGGGGGCAGTCGCTATTGATCGCTGGGGTTGGAGCCGGCGACCGAGTTGTGCGCGGGCGCCCCCTGGAGGCCCAGCCTGGAGCTGCGCCCTTTGCTGAGAGGCGGGTCCCCTCGCAGGTACCGGCTCGCACCTGATGGGACGGGTTGTGGAAAGGAATGGAGAGCGCTGGGCTGGGCGTCCCTGGGGACTCCAGCCGGTTGCCTGCCGGCTCCTTGGCTGTGCCGGGTATTTGCCAAGTCTTCGGAATTCTTGGGAAAAATTCCTCGATCTCAGAATGTGTTTTTCAGATTCCCCAGTTACTACCGTGGGATAGAAGACAGTTTTCCCAAGCAGTACATTTGAAAGGCTGCATATTGCACTTGAGCAGCCTCTTTGTATCTGTGTACATACAGATAGAGCTATAGCTAGCTAGATACAGAAATGTGTAATTTAACATTAACATGGGGTCGATCTTATTTTGCAAAGCCAACGTGAGACCCACTTGTAAAGCAAACGGTTTTTGAGGGAGGAAAATGAAGTTTGGCCATCAATTAGCAGATCAGAACATCTGCAGGTGGCCAAGGGACTGGCGCTCCACACAGGAAAATTAGCATTTTCTCAAAAGAGTTTCAAATGCCCTTTGTGCTAAACTGGATTACAACCTTCGACGATTAAGATTCCCAAGTTTCAAATAACTGCCTAGCCCCAGTTTCTAAACTGAAATGACCTACATTGGCCAGTAAGGATCCTGAGAATAGGGCACTTGGGAGCTCCCGTTTTAATTGAGGCGGGGAGGGAAATGTGTTGATTTGTAGCATTAATGTTGCAAGCCAACTCGCTGTGTTTCCATCTGTGTTTCCGAAAGAGAGGGGCTCCAACAGCCCCTTTTGTTCCGTTAAAAAGAGATTGCACAAGCCAACCATAGTCACTCCAGCCTCTGCTTCCTCGCTGATGGGGAGTTGGGGACCCATCTCGGAGGCAGGAGATAGAGCTGGCACTTCCTCTTTTTAAATGAAGTTGGGGTTTTTTTTTTTTTTTTGGTAAGGGTTTAGAGATGTGCCTTCCAGTCTGGTTGTGTGACTTTTTAGCCATGTAACCTCAAGACACGCGTGGCTTCCCTGAGCTTTCGGGTTCCTCTCTGTACAGTGGGAATGCGATCAGTAATTAATATTGTTCAAAATAACAATGCTTTTGTTTTTACTTTCTGTGTCAAAATGGTGCTGAACCGCCCATTGAGATAATTCTGTGTTTTAAATCTTCAGCTAACAGTATGCCAGGCCCCAGGCTGGGGGCCTTAATTAGCTTTCATCCTCATTTTTCCTCATCAGGGAGAGGGAGCCACATCTCCCAGTTGAAACGGCTTGCTTGTGGTTGCCTTGTCCTGTTGGATTGTGGCCTTCAAGAGACTGGTTATGGGGTGGACTTTCTGTCACTTCCGTTCCGGGGGCCATGCTGTTTGGCTGGTTGAGTTTGACGCGCTCTCCTCCTTTTTAACTTTTGAGATATGCCTTTGGAGGCTTTCGATGAACAGGTCCCTGCAAAGCAACTTGGAAATAAAAGTTTGCTCTGCTCTTTACTGCCCTGGAAAAAGGATGCGGGGGAAGAGAGTTCCAGGAGTTGCCCTTTCTTTCCATCGCCTCTTGTACTTTTGATTCTTTTACAAAAGCACCTAAACATTCTAAAAGCCTGTGGATCCAGGCAAGAACTGCTTCTTTAGTCCCCCGCCAGCAGCCTCCTTTTAGAAGTTTTTTAAAAATTAATTTTGTGTCTGTCCGGCTTTGTTCCAGGGGGCTCTGGAGAAGGAGGCAACAAAGGCTCCCCGCCTGCACAGAGGTTACAGATTTGCTTACAAGATGAGCTCAAGTTGAGGCCAAAAGGGTCCATCTCGCTAACGAAGAAAGCTGTGCTCACTCACCTCAGTGGCCAGAGAGCCCTCTGTACTTTTTTCTTTTTTTCTTCGTTTCAGCAGAGTCCCTGAATTTTTACCCTAGGCTGTTGGGAGCAAATTTTTTAACTCTCCATTAAATAGAAACTGCATTATAGCTCTAATTTGCCTTCTGTGAATTGAATTAAAGCCTTGCTGCTTAGCTGTTTCTTGGGTTGTGGAAATCAGATCTAAAATTAAACTGATACAAGGGCACTTTCTTTCCCCTGGTTCAATCCTTGAGGAGCTCTCAGTTTCCTTTTGTTTTTTGTAATTATCCTGTGGGTGGGGGAGGGTAGAAGATACTGTGTATTTTAATCTACTCCTTGTAGTTCTATTAATATAGGAATGGGGGGAGCGGAGATAAGCCTCAGTCCTAATGCGGTTCTCAAGATAAACTTTTTTAAAAGCATTTTTCTCATCTCCAGCATTTGATTAGCCTCTGGTAGATGAGCTTTTCCTCTTATACAATGCAAAGCTGTATTTTCTATCCATTTGGCAGTGATTGAATCTAAGCCCCCTGCTGGGTTTGCTGCATTCTTCCAACTTATTGGATAACTAGATGCTGGGAGATAACATTCCTAAAATCCGGAGTGGGGGTGGGGTGAAGGCCGCAAGCCCTGTTCGCCTTGTAATCCTCTGCACTTTGCTGCTTCCTTTTGGGAAGGGTTCACGTAAGCATACCCAGCAATTGTTCCTAGCAGTTCTCTGGCTCTTTGGCAAATATGGTTTCAGTATTTGCCAATGGTGGTCTGGATGCAGAAGTACTTTTTACTGCACAAGCAAACAGAACTCCCGCTGTTTTAAGATTCAAGTGGGATGTGGCTGGTATGGCTACAGAAGAGGAGAGCCTGTGTATACAGTGAAGGCAAGCTGGTATTCAGGTCGTAAATCACTCCTGGAACTGTTAGATCCTTCTAGAGCAGGGGAGCTTAACCTTTTTTGTGCCATAGAGCCGTTCTCAACAGAAGGTATTTAGGGACGTAAAAGGAAACATACAGAAATACCAGGGAAATAAATTGCACTGAGATAGTTATCAAAAAAACATTGGTGATAGAATGACATGTGCTTTATGAACACAGTAAGATGTAGCAGCTGGTCAGGCAACCACCAGAATTTCCAGTAATGCCGAAGCGTTAACACCCTAAATGAAAATAATCTGTTTTCTGTTGATGACAAACTCACAGTTTCTGTGATACCATTGTGGTATGTTACCTACATTCATAAGTAAAATAAACATTCAATTTTAGTTTAGGTTAATGAAAAGAAAGATAATCTGTGTGTTCTATTTCCATGGACCCCTGTTTAAGAATGCCCAGTTTAGAAAACTTGTATTTTCAATAAGGGAATATTATCCCTTACAGGGTGGAAATTGGATTTTGCGGGGGGGGGGGGGCGTGAAAAACATCTATTGATGTTACAATAGTTTGTTGCTTTCCAAAGGACCACAGCCTATGACTAGATAAGACACTGTATTTGTGGTATTAAAATTTCATGGTGGGGTGTGATTAGGACAGAAATGCATTAAAATTAAAAGCCTCCATGGAGGGGCGAGATGAAAAAGCTGGAGAAACGCCCCCTGAAGAAACGATAGTGAAGTAGACCAGTGGTTTTAGCGTCCTAGCATTTACTAATTCAGTCCCCACTCTTCTGTTTCTTGGTTATCGCTGTGTCCCCGTGAGTCACCTGATTGTTTCTGAATCTCAGTTTCCACATCTGTAAATGGGGGGGGGGGTGCAAAGATTTCTTCGATGATGTGGCTGCAGAGACCAATGAATTGAGGTGCAAGAGCCTGGGGTGTGTCTTGTTTGGACGCAGGTGGTGGTTTTGCTGACCCTCCCTCAGTGGAATGGGCGTTCCTGTCTTGAAGGGCCTTTCTTGGAGATGTGTGGAAGTAGAATGGTGGAGACAAAGGGTGGAAACATGCTCATTAAAAAGAAACCGCAGTTCAGAAAGTGTAAACAGTTGAAGGTTCTTGTCCTCCACAACCTGCCGGCCCAGGCTGCAGGAGCTAGAGGCCAGCCATAGTTCGTCTTACCTCAGCGGTTTTCTGTGTTCATATCTTTATCTGCAGCACAGACAGGAGCACTTGATAGGTAGACCCTGTTCTCCTTATTTTTTCCTCCTGAGATAATAAACCTCGTGCAATTGCCCTGTAGAGCAGCACATACAATGTAGGTCTACTTTTGTAGGCTACAAAGTAATCATTTCTTTTCTCTCGCCCCCTTGACTTCACCAGAGCCTTCCTGAAGGACCCGGGTGCAGTCCATTTCTGTTTTTGTTGTTTGTTAACGTGAGAAATATATCTTTGTATCACAGAAAATAAATTTCTAGCAACAGGATTGTTGGGTCCAAGAAGAATTACACTAAAATTATGGTGTTACCAAGTTGTCCCCTGAAGAGCTGTATCTATTGATACGCACCTACCAGTAGTGTGTATTTCCCTCCCAACTTTTTAAAAAGTTCCCCTTTTTTAAAGTTCTTGATACATAATTGCCAGACTTGCTTTTCCAGAAAGAGGTGTGCTACTTCTCTCCCCCCTCCCTCCCCCACTGCATTTGGAAAGTGTGCCTTAGGTGCTGTCTGAGTGCTCTGGGAATTGACGAGTACTTTTAACTTGGTTCTTGAGAGTAAGGACTATTGTGGAGCAGTGCTGCGGGGAGAAGCAAGGCAGGACCTCCTTGTTGAGCTCTACCTAGAAGTTCAGCGCTGCATTGTGCCCTTATTTTTTAATTGGTTTTTTTTAGAGAGAAAGGGACGGATGGGAGGGAGGGGAAGAGAGAAAAATGATGATTTGCTGTGCCACGTATTGATGCATTTATTGGCCGATTCGTGCATGTGCCCTGCTTGGGGAGCAAACCCGCAACCTTGCGCGTATTGGGAGGACACTAACCAATGGCAAACCGTCGTCTTTTCAAGTCACTTCCGTGTGTCCCAGAAAGGTGGTAGCCTGTGTTCTAGGCCCTCCCTGTACCTTATCCCACCTCCTCCAGCTTCCCTGGCCCCACTGGGTTTCTGTGAGAAGATAGTTGCAGTCTCAACGGAAAAAACCCGCTAGGAAGTGTAAGGAGAGAGGAGGGAAGAGCTCAGAAGGAGGGCCTGGGTGCTGCCGGCCTGGGCTGTAACGAGTGTGGTGTGTACGGGGCACCTGGCGGTGCCTGGGCACAATACTGGAGGCTTTGGGGTCACCTTTTCCCCGTGGGGTTCCCGAGCCCCAGCCTTCCGCACGGCGGGAGGTGAGAATGAGTTAGCGACTGCTGTTTTGTCGTTGTCGGGAGCCCCACCCAGCTGCTGAGCTGTAACTTTTCGAAATAGAAGAGGTGGGGAGAAAAGAATAAAATAATTTTTTATTTTTTATTTTTTTAAGAAAGAAAGAGAGGTGGTGGGGAAACTAATGTTCCCTAAATACCTTCCGTATCTGTACTTTTCCCAGATCCTAGGATGGTTGGTGCCGGGCATGTACCGAGTGCTCAGGCGTTTGTTAAACGAATCACTTAGCCCCGTGATTATATGTGTTTTCGGGGAACACATATCACTTACTTTATGAAGATGTAATTATAATGTGTTTCGCAGAAATTCTGCAGGGCAAGCCCGCCCCATCAAACCTCCTATTGACGGGACTGGTAGATTGGCCCTCTGGTTCGCGGGCCGGTGGGGCGGGGGCGGGGAGGCTCGCTTATGTAGATAGAAGCCCCGACCCTGGTCCCTTATTGGTCTGTCCTCATGCAAATGAGGGCTCCAAAGCCTCACAATTTCCGGCTCAAAGGCACTCTCCTGATTGGTCAGGATAGAGTTGCTCTGGTTGGTCAGAGCTGCTCAGCTCTGATTGGACAGGGAAAGTTTCGGTTCTATTGGCTGAAATAGGGTTCTAGGAACTCGTTCTGGGAGAGTTCCGGGAAGAGGCGGGCAGTCCCGCGCTGGCGTCTGTGAAGTACGGTTTGTGGAAGGGACCCCGGTGCAGAAATGGCTGCCAGGCTGTTTTTCGAAATGGAGCCCAGTGAGCCCCCAGGAGCCCTTAGTGTCTTTTTTCCCCCTGGGTTCACGTTTCCAACATCATTTTGCCGCTGGAAGCTGGCTTTGAGTCGAGGTGCAGGTCTCTGAGGGGATTATTTATAATCGTATGTGTGTCTTCGGGTTGCTACAACCGATTGCTACAAACTAGGAGGCTGAAAACAACCGAAATTTATCCTCTTAACAGTTTTGGACGCTAGAAGTTTGGAGTCGAGGTATTGGCAGGTGTGGTTCCTTCTGGAAGTCCTAAGGGAAAATCGGTCCCTTGCCTTTTTCCTGCTTTTTGTTAGTTCCCACCTCTACCGCCGGTAAGCCAGCAAACCTTGCTTTATAGCCACGTGACTCCTCCATTTGCAAAGTTCTCATCCAAATCAGGTCCGTGCACAGGTGCTGGGGTTAGTACTTAGATGTATTTGGGGGGTGTGGGTTATTCATCGACCCACTACACAAGCGGTCAGTTCATTCAGACTCTTCGGATGCCAAGTTCCCTCACACAGCCTTCTGTCTGTTGCACACAGATCACGAAGCCTCGTGCCTTGTGTGTGGTCATGATTCTTCCCAAGAAATTGCCCCTCATCCTTCCTTGGACATAGTTCTTAGCTTCTCCTCTCTTACCACAGGTGCTTCCATGAACCACCCCGGGACAGGCGACGACATGGTTGGGGACCGAGTCACGGTAAAGAGACCACGTCGGGAGGAGACTCACATCTGTGAGAAATGCTGTGGAGAGTTCTTCAGCTTCTCTGAGTTCTTGGAACATAAGAAAAATTGCACTAAACATCCACCCGTCCTCATCATGAGTGACAGCGAGGGGCCAGTGCCGTCGGAAGACTTCTCCGGGGCTGTGCTGAGCCACCAGCCACACAGCCCAAGCAGCAAGGACAGTCACAGGGAGGATGGTGGCAGCTCAGGGGACATGAAGGAGAAGCCGGGAGCAGAGTCTGTTCTGTACTTAAAGACAGAGGCTGCCCTGCCCCCCACACCCCAGGACCTAAGCTATTTACCCAAAGGCAAAGTGGCCAACACTAACGTCACCCTTCAAGCACTACGGGGCACCAAGGTGGCGGTGAATCAGCGGAGCGCGGATGCGCTGCCCGCGCCCCTGCCTGGTGCCAACAGCATCCCGTGGGTCCTGGAGCAGATCCTTTGTCTGCAGCAGCAGCAGCTCCAACAGATCCAGCTCACGGAGCAGATCCGTGTCCAGGTGAACATGTGGGCTGCCCACGCCCTCCACTCCGGCGTGGCGGGAGCTGACGCCCTGAAGACCTTAGGCAGCCACGTGTCCCAGCAGGTTTCTGCGGCGGTGGCTTTGCTCAGCCAGAAAGCTGGAAGCCAAGGTCTGTCTCTGGACACCTTGAAACAAGCCAAGCTACCTCACACAAACATCCCTTCCACCACCAGCTCTGTGTCCCCGGGGCTGGTGTCCTTCGCCCTACGGCCGGATGGGACCAGGGTGCTCCCGAACCGCCTCCCGGGGGCTTTGCTACCTCAGGCCCCGAGCTCTGTGCTCTTCCAGAGCCCTTTCTCCACTGTGGCGTTAGACCCGTCCAAGAAAGGGAAAGGGAAGCCACCCAACGTGTCCCCGGTGGATGTCAAACCCAAAGACGAAGCCACCCTCTACAGGCACAAGTGTAAGTACTGCAGCAAGGTTTTTGGGACTGATAGCTCCTTGCAGATCCACCTCCGTTCCCATACCGGAGAGAGACCCTTCGTGTGCTCTGTCTGTGGCCACCGCTTTACCACCAAGGGCAACCTCAAGGTCCACTTTCATCGACATCCCCAGGTGAAGGCAAACCCCCAGCTGTTCGCTGAGTTCCACGACAAAATGGCGACAGGCAATGGCGTTCCCTATGCACTCTCTATCCCTGTCCCCATAGATGAATCAAGTCTCTCTTTAGACAGCAAACCTGTCCTGGTCACAGGGACCCCCCATGTAGGGCTACCTCAGAATCTCTCTTCGGGGACTAACCCCAAGGATCTCATGGGTGGCCCACTGGCCAAGGACCTGCAGCCTGGGCCTTCTCCAGAAAGTGAGGATGGATCTGTGCTCTCTGGGGTGGGGCCAAACCATAATTCCCCAAGGGTTGGTGGCTTCCAAGGGAGAGGGACACCTGAGCCAGGGTCAGAGACCCTCAAGTTGCAGCAGCTGGTGGAGAACATTGACAAGGCCACCACCGACCCCAATGAATGTCTCATTTGCCACCGTGTCTTAAGCTGCCAGAGCTCCCTCAAAATGCATTACCGCACCCACACCGGGGAGAGACCCTTCCGGTGTAGGATCTGTGACCGAGCTTTCTCCACCAAAGGCAACCTGAAGACCCACTTCGGGGTCCACCGAACCAACACCTCCATAAAGACGCAGCATTCGTGCCCCATCTGCCAGAAGAAGTTTACCAACGCGGTCATGTTGCAGCAGCACATTCGGATGCACATGGGCGGTCAGATTCCCAACACGCCCCTGCCGGAGAACCCCTGTGACTTTGCGGGTCCCGAGCTGATGGTGGTCGGTGAGAACGGCGGCACGAGCGCCGTCTGTCACAATGACATCGAAAGCATTGATGTAGACGAAGTCGGCTCCCAGGACGCCCCCAGCAGCTCCTCGAAGGTCCCCGTGCCCCTTCCCGGCATCCACTCGGCGTCGCCCTCGCCGGTGTTCACCCTGACGGCCCCCCTGGACGCCCCGGGGAAGGCAGGCCCCGCTCTGGTCCTGCAGCGGCAGAGCAGCAGAGAAAACGGCTCGGTGGAGAGCGATGGCTTGACCAATGACTCGTCGTCCTCGGTGATGGGAGACCCAGAGTACCAGAGCCGGAGCCCGGACGTCCTGGAGACCGCGTCCTTTCAGGCCCTCTCCCCGGCCAATAGCCAAGCAGAGAGCATCAAGTCCAAGTCTCCTGATACAGGCGGCAAGGCGGACGGCTCGGAGCTCAGCCGCACTGAGATGGAAGGTGATAGAGCTTTGGCTTTCACTTATGTCCGTTTTGGGCACAAGGTCGTCCGGAAGGAACCTGGGTTGAACTTGGCAAACGGAGAGTGTGATAAGTGTGAAGCGGTCCGCTGTAGGGCCGGTAGCCATTCTGTGCTTCTAGGTGGAGGGAAGGGATACCTTCCTCTGGCCCAGCAATGACACGCTTTGATGTGTGGCGGTTACTGCTCATGTTGGCCGGACCGTGTCCTTTTTTCTTGGTTTTTATTTTTGTGTTTGGGACTCCGTGGGGAGGTAAAGGTGCTCTTAAGAGTAGAATAACTCTGAGAACGTGGGCACTGTTTTTTGCCCACAGAGATGATTTCTTGATTCTGAGGTCCCGCTCCCTAGTTGTGAGGTTCACAAGTAAATAACTCTTGGGGTAAAAATCTAACCGATTTGAAATGTGCGCACAAATGGTGGGGTGCCTGTCGATGTCATTGATGGCAAAGGTGGGGACCAGCTGCGTGGCAGAGCCCGAGAAGAATGGGCGCCTGGGCATAGACTTCAGAGGCCACTCCGTATGTAGGAGTTTGAACTTGGATGCCTGTGAAATGTGTTGCCCACACCTTTACACACCACAGTGGCACATTTTTCCCAAGTGTTTTGAGTCGTCACTCTGCGCAGGCAAACAAGTCAAAGGAAAGCTGCTTCCGAGGCATAAATGTCCTAAAAGCCATTTCCAGGCGCTCAGACAGTGGGCAGTTGTTTTCAGAGCTCTTTTGTTGGTTCAAGGAGCGAACGAGTGCGGGATGATAAAGGTTTAGGCTTTTTTTTTTTTTTTTTCTCCTCTGCACACCAGGTCGGGGCAGTCTCCCGTCAGCATTTGTCCGAGCCCAGCCAACCTATGTCAAAGTTGAAGTTCCCAGCGCATTTGGACCCGCGACCATGTCCCCAGGCATGACACCTTTGCTGGCGGCCCAGCCTCGCCGCCAGGGCAAGCAGCACGCCTGCACACGGTGTGGAAAGAACTTCTCATCGGCCAGCGCCCTCCAGATCCATGAGCGGACTCACACTGGGGAGAAGCCTTTCGTGTGCAACATATGTGGGCGGGCCTTCACCACCAAAGGCAACCTGAAGGTGAGTTTCCTCAGGTTTCCGCGGGGGTGGGAGCTAGGTTTTGGGCTGCGTCCCTCAGTGTTCTCTGCCCATGGTGAACTTTCTACAGAGAGCACATGGGATGTTACATCTCAAAACTGGCTCTCAAAATAAATACTCTTTAAAGAAGCACATTTTCTCATATCATGACATCTCTGAGATTGGATGCTTCTTGTTGCACGTGTCTGCAATCAGGAATTTTTTTCCTTGATTTTTTTCTTTTTTATTTATTTATTTTTAGAGGGGGGGAGGGAAAGAGAAAGAGAGGGAGAGAAGCATCAGTGTGTGGTTGCCCCGCACGCATCCCCTAACTTGGCCCACAACCCAAGCATGTGCCGTGACTGGGAATTGAACCAACAACCCTTTGGTTTTCAGGCCGGCACTCAATCCACTGAGCCAACCAGCCAGGGAGGGCTCTTCGTTTATCTTTAGTAGCCCATAAAAAGTGATGATGCATTGTACAAGGGTTGTCATCTAGGAGCAAGACATGCAGTCTATACTCTTCTGCTCCTGAAATTATCCATACTGGGGCAGACCATGATGCCTTTCAGCAGTCGTTCCGTATGTGTAGGAAATCAAGTCTGGAAACAAAGATGATACTTGTCGTGTCTTGTAACATAGAATTGATAAGTCATTTGTGGGTTTCATAATGCTTCCAGACTTGATGGCCACCTGGACTGCATGTTGGTGGTATTTTCCGAGCTCGCCAGGTTGAAATAAGTAACGTGAGTTAGAGGTATGTGTAATACAGTACCACTGCAGTTATAAAGGCCTCTGCGTTATCAGCAGCGCATTGCAGAGGGAGCAGCGGGTTTGTCCAGAGAACACCCTGTTGTTATAGGTCTGTCCACCTAAGATTTCCCCGGAGGCGGACAGGAGAACCTCCCTGGGAAGGCCTGGCAGTGGCCTGCCTAAGAACTCAGGATGGGAATTGGAGGCCCGAGTTTTCCCCTCAGCCCAGCCTCCAGTTTTACGTCAGTCATGTGTCTGTGGTTCTCTTTCTGTCCCTCTCCATTGAGTAGACTACTGGTTGAAATCTTTGTAGTTAGAAGAAAGATTGAAACATCATCTTAGATGAGTTGACGTAGAAGACTGTATGACATTTTAAAAATTAAGAAAACTTAACTATTACAGAACGACCTATTCTCTTTGGTTGGCACAGCTGCCAAAGGAGGAACATGCGGTCAGTTCATCCCTCATACCGACTTGCAAATACAGAAAGCCGAGCTTGGTTCACAGGCCTGGCTGTGAGCCCAGGGAAGGGCTGGAGCTGCCCCCCCTGCACACTTACTTACAGTGATTAAGAGCAAGTCACTTGTGCGCTTGGATGAGTGGACTCCTAACTTCTAAGGGTGTCTGAAGGTGAAACGAGAATGTCTCAGGAAACCTGTCACCTCCCACATTCTTTGAGTCTTTAATGAAGCTGAAAAGCGTTTGCAAATTCAAAAGCCAGACCAGGAGACTGATGCAGAGAGGAGGCCAGGCTGAAGAAGCAGTAGGCAGTAGGATCACCTGATTTTTGTGTGCTCCCCCCCCCCCCCCGCCCCCTATAAGAGAACAGATATCTAGAATTTCTTACACATGAAATCAAATTTTTTAGTATAAATTATGTTAGTATGTTTGGGTGGAGCCAAACCCCCTTGCAGGCCGACTGTGGCTTGCCAGCCTGTGTGGGTAGAAACCTTTCTGTCCCTCTTCCCACAGGTCCACTATATGACGCACGGTGCCAACAACAGCTCTGCTCGCCGAGGGAGGAAGCTGGCCATCGAGAACACCATGGCTCTTCTAGGAACAGATGCAAAGAGGGTCCCAGAGATGTTTCCCAAGGAAATCATGGCCCCTTCCGTGAACGTGGACCCTGTTGTGTGGAACCAGTACACCACCATGCTCAACGGCGGGCTGGCCATGAAGACCAACGAGATCTCAGTGATCCAGGGCGGAGGCCTCCCCACCCTCCCGGTTTCCCTGGGGGCCAGCTCTGTGGTCAACAATAATCCCACTGTCGCCAAGATGGATGGCTGTCCGTCAGCTGTCAGTGCTGACGTGGAAAAGCCAGGTGCCCCTGACAGCGTTCCCAAACACCAGTTTCCTCACTTTATGGAAGAAAACAAGATAGCGGTCAGCTAAGCTGCAAGAGAACCCACTCAGAAGGAGAAATGCGGCGGCTGCTCGCAAACTGGACCTTGTTTGTTTTTTGTTTTCGTTTTTTAAGAAACCCATCTCCTCCTTTTTATTTTTCTTACTGATGTGCAGACGATGTTTACAGTTGTGACCACAACCTCAGGCAAGTCCTACAATCACGATGTTGCTATGCTGCTTTGCAAAAAAAAAAAAAAATCATATGAAAACAAATACAGACTAGTATTTTTTTTTTTTTTTTTTAATTTTGGAAAGAAGCGGGTCTTGCAAAGTAGCCTTGTTACTTGAGACAAACTGTATACATGAAAACTTTGTACAAGCTAGAGTCACTATTTCCAAAGACTGCCACCTGTTTGATGCTGGGGCTCATTGATCCACGATGGAAAAGGCAACTGCTTAGCCTAACTGGGGGACGGGTGCTGTATGCTTCCGTGGTGACCGGATGCGGGTATATACAACGTCTGTCGTTTTTAGGGACCTGCTTGGTATGCCGCCCAAACCTGCACCCTTTCTTTTTCTTTCTTTTTTTTTTTTCCTTGAATGTACTTTTTTTTTCTTCTTTTCACTAAGGTTGTAGAATTACAAAATTCCCTCAGCCTTGGGTGTTCAGTAGGGTGCCCTCAACTGGACCGATTGTAGTCCGTAGGGAGTCAGTGTGTGTGTGTTGCTGCTCGTTGAATATAGTTCAGGTGGAGCCCAAGGGGTGCCAACGTATTCCCTGTGCCTCCCGGGCGCTGCCTTCTCCTGGCCGCCAGGCCAGGTGGGCCCCTGAGCAGGGGCCCTCAGGTGACATAATTTAGTTCACCAGTGCCTATTCTATCAGAGAAATGGGGTTTTCATTCTTGCAGAAACTCACAGAAGGGCATGTTTCTTATTAGAGGTTCACATACTAATTTTTATAAAAATTTCCTTGATGTGATTTATGCCAAGTAATTATGAAGATCCCCACCCCTACCCCTGAGTATTGTTGCATGAAGGCTACAAAGTTGGAACAGGCAAGTCCTGGGTATGAAAGCTTTAATTTATCTACCTCATTTATTTTTTTATTTTTGTAGCCTTAGTCTCTCTTCCTATTTTATGACTGTTGAAAGTGTTCCTAGTCCCTGTCTTAAACCTAAGAGTTGATGTATTGGTGGGAGCAGCTGTTCAAGATGTTTTTGAGATTTTTTTTTTTAATTCCCTTCTCTGTAATACTAAGCAAACAAATAAAGGTTTCTTTAACGGTTTAACGAGGGAGAAAGAAAGACCCTCAGTTCTGCGTGGAGGAGTCTTCCCCCCTCAATGTGGAGATGTAGATCAAGAATATCAGAAGTTGGTCTCTTGAGTGATTGCACCTGACTTTAGGATCCAGAAACATTTTTTTGTTTTGCCAAGTTGTGCCTTTCCTCCTGGGACTGTAAGTGAACACAGTGATAGTGCCTGTTCACACTGTGAAGTGGATGCTGTTACAGAGGACACGTCAGAGCCTTGCTCACTGCTGCGCCTTGTGAATGTATGATGTACGGAGAGAACCCTGTAGTTGTACCTGCTGATGCTGACTGTTGGAGAATAAATTTTGGATATTTTGTTTCCCCATCCCGCGTGCCTGTGAGTGTGTCTCCTAGTTTCTGCTCTAAACCTGAGATCCTTACTTGCTGATCGTTTCCAGGTGCCTTCTGACCCTCTAGGTCCTAGAAGGAAGAGGGACATCTGGTTACACCCACACTTGACCCACTTCTCAGGCATGCCATCTACTATTGCGTGGGCCAAAAAGTCCATTTAAGTTTTTTGATTAAAATAAAAGACACGTTTTTTGTTTTCATCAATAACTATTGATTGGGATATTTTGAGTAAGTCGGCTTTCTTGCACGTGGTATAGTGTTGATTTTCCCCAGTGTCTCCATTTGATCACTGTTGACTTCAGCTGGTCCACCCAACCATGGAGCATCATCCAGCGAGAAATCTCCAGGACAAAACTGCAAAAACACTTTTGACGTATCTGATCAGTCACAGCACCTTTTCCATTCACGGCACAAATCTTTTTTGTGTTTCAGTTGCATTTTTACCTATCTTGAAATAGTAAAGTATAACATGCCAAAAATGTTGCTTGCTTTTTTCCATCTTAAATATGAAAATGGCGACACAAATTTACCAGTTTAGATAAGTTGGGTTTTTTTTTAATACACGCTGATAAGACGGCTGCCACATCATAGTCTAACAAAATTGTTTCGAATGACGTTAAAGACAACCAAATACTATTAGAACCATCGTATGGAAAAAACCAAACAAACTTTGATCAACCCATCCTTTGCTGGTGGTATCTTTCCTTTTTAAGGCATGAAAGTTTAATTAGTTTAACCTCACTAGAGAACTTCTTGTGTTCGCTTACCACCATAGAGAGCTTAGCCTGCCTTAGGCTAACCCATGTCTCACCCATCCGAACCTGGCACAAGTCGGTGGGGCAGGGAGACTATTTTTAACCATCTCATTCTTAGGGGCTGCTTAGAAAGGATAGGCTGAGAGTCAAATAGGAGGTGGTACTTAATTCCAAGGGGAACTTCTTAGGGGAGTTGGGGGAGTGCCCATTGAAGGAAGACCCAGGGCAAGAGCAGGTTCACAACCTGCTGGTAAAGAACCCTCTTACCCACCTTTTGCTGTGTTGGTGAACCCACTGGCGAGAACCAGCGTCCGGCCCCAGGAGAACCTTCGTGGGTGTGGACCCTGCATTATCCTGGAGGGTATTCTGACCTCCAGGAAAGGGCTGGGGGATGCATTCTGATGGCCTTTGACCGGACAAGAACTTGGCGAGTGAATGTTTTCGTCCCTGCCCACCAAGGCTTGTCTGTCCTTTGGCCTCAGCTCATCTAAATTTAGGGTGAAGCAGCCACCAAGTCAGCAAAATTAAGCCCGCCCTTCAGATAACGGAAATGGAGGCACCTCACCTAAGCTATTGTGCCCTGGTCCTAGGTGCCTACAACGTTCACCGTTTTTCCCTCTTGATATTAACCCCCCATTAAGTGTTATGTCTTTCTAGAGCCAAATGTATGATGATTTTACTTAAAAAACAGTACATATCTCACCCCCTCCAGCGTACTTTTAGACATCTTTCCAAGGTAAAGCCCATTTCCAGCTAATCACGTAACGGCAAATTCCTACTTGAGGGATTGCTGGCATAAGGGTGACTGTTCTCAGTGCGCTCCATCTGTGGGTGTGTGTGTGGGTGTGGGTGTCTATTTTCTCAGCCCTGATCTTGGAAGCCCGTTTTTTTCCCTTGAGAAAAGCTTTTAGGTTTTTTCCCTTTTTTACCAAATGTATTGGGGTTGAGACTGGTTAAGAAATTATACAGGTTTTGGGCGTACAATTGAGCGCATCATCTGTACAGTGTATTGTGTATTCACCATCCCAAGTCGGGTCTCCATCCGTCCGTCCATCCATCCATCCGTCCATCAGCCTTTATGGCCCTGTACCCGCGCCCCCCCTGCCCACCCCGCGGTCACTATACTACTGTCCCTGTCTACAAGTTTTTTCTCTCTTGCTCATTTGCTCAACCCTGCCACCCCCCACAGCTGTCAGCCTGCTTGCTCTCTGAGTCTGTCCATTCTGCATGTTTGTTTGTTTTGTTCATTAGATTCCACATATAAATGAAATTGTATGGTACTTGTCTTTCTCTGACTGGCTTATTTCACTGAACATAATGTTCTCCAGCTCCACCCCTGTTGTTGCAAAAGGTAAGATTTCCTTATTTATTTTTAGAGAGGGGAAGGGACAGGGAAAAAAGAGGGAGAGAAACATCGCTGTGTGGTTGCCTTTCACACTCCCTGCGCTGGGGCCGTGGCCAGCAACCCAGGCCTGCGCCCTGACAGAAACCAAACCAGCGACACTTTGATTCACAGGCCAGTACTCAGTCCACCGAGCCACACCATCCAGGGCTCCTCTTTTTTGACTGCCGAGTAGCAGTACACTGTAAATGCACCGCAGCTTTTTTATCCACTCATCTACTCACGGGCACCTGGGCCGCTTCCACCTCCTGGCTACTGTAAACACAGCCCCAGTGAACACAGGAGCGCCTGTGTTTTTTCAGGTTAGTGTCTCGGGCTTTGAAGCCCATTTGGTGGGTAGGTTGTGATGTGAGCACATCCCCGTTGTACGGTGAGTCCTCTTGAGTTTTTGAGGCACGGGAGGTAAACCATGCAACTACCATAGAACTTGCTCTTGTACCTTGAGACCTGCCTGTCTTGTGTCTTGCTCTGTGGGTTCCTCAGATTCAGAACTCTGTTTTCACACTTGAGAGATGATTTAAGGGACTCTCAACATTTTTGACTTGAATAAATAGCCAGTCATAGCTCGATGAAGTGGCGCGGGGTGGGGGCGCGGGGAGGGGCGGGGCCGGGACCCTGTCCAAGTTGCTCAGTCGGTTGGAGCATTGCCCAGTATGCCAAAAGGCTGTGGGTTCGATCCCACAGGGCCTGTACAGGTGGCAACTGATTGATGTTTTTCTCACATCGATGTTTCTCTCCTTTCCTTTCTGTCTCTAAAGTCAATGGAAGAAAAACACATCCTCAGGTGAGGACTTAAAAAAGAAATGGAGTGGGGGTGACAAACTCCCACCTTCCCTCCTGGCCCGCTGCCTGTGGTTGGTGCACCCACAACCTGGGTAAACAGAAGTGCTCTGGGAAGGGAATTGTTTGTGTGGTGCAGGCGCATTTGGAGAAGCTGTGCCATTTGGCAGTAAAACGTACCAAAGAGCCATCAAAGGACGGGGAAGGCGGACGTTTGATTCAACCTGCCCGCACCAGGCCGGCCTAGATGACAGTGGAGCTAACCCATGAGAAGGATGCTGAAATACCCGCACATTTGCAGGAAGCTCTTCCCTCAAGTTTCAAAGGCACTCCCTGCCATGACCCAAGGTTCACAACTCCGCAGAGAGCTTGAGCCCAGACCGGAAACTCAGCACACGTAGCAAGTCCAGAAGCAAGGCAAGGAAGGAGGCGGCAGAGGTCCACTTGCAA